CGTGTGTGGCTGGTCATCAAAAAGTAGCACCTCACTGGCCTTATGGATTTAGAAGTCCTGAAACATAGGAAAACGATTTTGTTTAGATTTTCTGAAACATAAAGACATTATCTAAAAAGTAGCATAGCGGTTTTTTGATATTCGCAAAATTACCAAAATGGCGGCAACTTAAAAAAAAGTTAAGTTTTTCATTAAAAAAATATTCATTAAAATACTAATATAAAATCAAAATATCAAAAAAAAATCCTATGCTACTTTCTAAAGAATATATTTTTACGTAATTTAAAATAGCAGCTTTTTTCGTTGTATGGATCATGAGAAAAACGTTAGGCCAGGTCAAAAAACAGCGTTTTGAGAAAAACACGTTTAAAGTTTTGACTTATGTTCAATCTAGTAAATTATTAAATTAGTAATGACTAACCTTTATTCTGCAATTCCAGGTCCATATATCTTCTCCATCAACAGAATGGATGAGACACAAAAAGAATGTCGCCCCTCCTAATCCGGCCGAACGGGCCTTTCTACCTGCTTAGCGACGACTCTCTATTTTCCGGTATAACTTCCAAACGAAGTTAGGTACCGATAAATCGTTTGAGTCAGACATTAAGAAGGGTACAAAGATTTGAAAAATGCTAAAAAAAATTTCGAATTTTAGAAATATTCAGGGTGGGGTCCCCTCTTAAGCTTCCCTTTGTCGAGCATTTCCACTCTTAGTCTAGATCAAGAAGGCTGAATTCCACCAAGAGTCAAATGATTAGACACAAAGGAAAAAGAAACATATAATTTTTGTTTATGAATTCAACCTCATGAATTTCAAAAATTTTTTTGAATGAGTTTATGGAATAACACACAATTATATTTTTTACAAGACAAATGATAAGACACAAAGGAAAAATGATCATAAAATTTTTTTTCTTGAATTCAACCTCGTGAATTTCAAAAATTTATTCGAATGACGCTTTCGAATTGGTTTCATTGAAAACATACGACTCTTAGCACTTCCGTTTCGTCTAAGTATCTTTTATCTTTTTATGTATCCTTTATTACCCAATGAGGTTTAATTTAAATCTAAATATATTTTTTGAAACTCAGTTTATTTCAATAACATTCAGTGCATGAGAATAAAAAAGGTATGGTCATAAAACTACCTACAATGTTTCTTGCTCTATGGGAACACCAAACAGATAGGTAATATTTACCACTTTGGTAATGACTTTATTAAAACTAACAATAAAGTATGGTTTTACAATATGTGATAAAATTTGGAAAATGTGGTAAAATTTTGTCGTTTAATCGCGATACGTTCAGGATATAAAAACCATTTATTCGGTTGAATTTACTTTTCAGGTTTTTTTTCTAAATGTGCGGTGATTATGAAACCATATTTTTATTATGAAACCATAGAGCATGGCGAAAAAATAATTTATTCAGTTCAATTCACTTCTCTGTCTTCTAATTTTTACGAAATGTATCGTAATAAGAAATATAATTTTAAAAAACACAATTTCTAGTAAACCGTTACTATATGAGCGAAAAAAATTTTAAAAAAATGTTTTAAATACTGCATATTTTGATTTTATTAACCGGAATATGTTTATTTTTCATCGCAAACGTCACGAAAATATAGTGCGGTAATTTTACCAGCATTTTTTTTCTCCTGTGCAGAAATGCCGAACAATTTCGAAAGTGAAGAGAAGATAAACCAACTCACTCAAACCTAAAATTTACTCACTCAAATAATACCTTTACATGATATATCTTTTTCCCCACAAACTTTGTATCAGTTTTTAATCAGAATATTATTTTTACTGTATTTATTAAAGTTAAATAAGAATGGCGAATTAAATAATGAAACAATGTGTGTACCAGAGCAAATTTCTTATGGAAAATAGTATTTTTTGAATTTATTATTTGTTGAACACTTATTTATCTTTATTTGGCTTTAAAATTTTTTTCCTTAAGATCTACAAAATCGTGTGTTTTGACACTAAAAAATTCAGATTTTGTGAAGTGATTACCGCAACCTAAAGAAGATAAGAAAGTATTATGCATTATTGTTTATGTAGGTTTGACAAGTTCAGAAAAGATAATCATTGTGCCATCCAGAAAAGATTCCATAAGAAAGGATATCAGTGAAATAGTTAACAGGCAAGTAAACATCTATTGATTTTATTAGGGACACGGAGCCAAAAAAATTTGTTTTAGATATCCCAGCTTCTCTCCGGATAATAAGTAGCTCCAGTTTCGTCCGTCTCTAACTATGGTCACTATATATTTATGAGCACGATTGTGTTTCAGATTTTAATTTGGAATTTTTATAGTGAAAAGGAGGATTAAAAATAATAATGGAATCATCAGAATCATTAAATTAAATGCAAATTTTATTTAATTCACCTTTGAGCTAAATGCTCAATTTTAAGAAAAGAATTTAATCTAATAAATCTTTCTGCAAAATTGATTTTAAATTCTTATAAATGTATTTTAATGCTTAGAATAATCTTTCTTCAGCAACTTAGCTAACGGGCAATTTCGTTACAGTGTGGGAGGTCTCTTGACTGTTTGAAGGTATTTCACATAATTATATATGCACGCCCTGTTTAAAGAATGTGAAGATTAGCAATATTAAGTTTTCCTTTACGGAGAGCATAAAAAATCTAGTGCTTTGATTAGTAGAACTATTATTAATAATGCTTCCCTTTCGACATTTGACTTACGAGATGATGCGGAAAACTTACGCAATTTTTCCTTGACATAAAAAATGAAATATATCTATCTTAGTGATATTTAATGCTTTTTCAATATTTATGCATGTGATAATAAGCAGCATCTTCTTTTAACCTTGCCTGACTTTCAATGTGCCAGGAATGCCTTGTAATATATATCATAGTTTTCAGAAGCTAATTATGCAACAAAATGTAAGGATATCAAATATTTATTTTGTGTATAATAGATGCTTTGAATACTTAAAACTAATTTTGTAACGTTAAAATAAATTAAATTCAAACAAACAAATCCAACATTCTTACAAAAAACTGTAAACATTTTAACAGGGTAGAATATATTCTGTAGATCAGATCTCAGTTGATTTGGAAACGTCTGAAGCTCATAAATTCATTTAAAATACTTTTATTTTTCTATGTAGCTGTTTTTTAAAAGAATTTTTGGATGTTGGGCGCAATGCAGATGGTTCAGTGCCAGATTTAATCTTTGAACAAGTGTCTATGTCACATCCCGTTTTCATTAGTTATACCTCAGGAACTACTGGTTCACCAAAAGCAATTGTACACGGCAGTGAGGTAAGTTAATTTATACTACTATTTTATCGGCAGTACCTCCCCAACTGCCCTAAGGATAGAGCAAAACATTGACTAAATTGTAAGTTTTAACTGCTTAAATGGCCACCACCAAGTACATTAAACTTACACTTTTTACTTTTAGCACTTCATCTGACTAAGAAACTATTGCTTAATAGTTGACCTTGTAACTTATTTTAAAGATGTAAATCAATTCTAACGTAATGATGTTTGCTTTTAATGTAAACATATGCATTCCTTTGAGGTTATTTGCGTATCGTAATCTGTGGCGCCAACTACAATCGCTAAGGCAACTTAAGTAGCAAATTTTCTTTAAAAACGAAAATATGTAGAGGTTTGCCCGTAGAGGTGGCTACGAGTTATACTCTTCGAGTTGGTTCCCTTCTGAGATGTGTTTTTTAATTTATTTATAATTATTTCTTATTTATTTACAATTACTTCTTGCAAGGCTCTGCCCATATATTAACAAGTCTTAGCGAGGATTTTGCCACAGACCACAATTTTGAAATCTCTTCATTCTTCCCTTTACTTAAGTAAATATACAAGGTGTCTCAGTTAAGTTTTTCAGAATTCCTAAGAGTGGTAGAGTGCATCCTGACGACTCGAAATCATATAGCAATGAGGGGTCGGAAATGCTTTCCAGAAGCGGTAGTGTACACAGAAGAACCATAAAGAAAAGAGACCGTAAGTGAAAAATCGTTTTAATAATACATTGAAATAAGCATAAGGTACATGGGTCAAAGTAAGTGTTCGAAGTTTCTGCCACCTGCTACAATGTACACCTCACATCTCCAGCGCATGGACATCCGAACATTCAGCAATACTCCAAGCATATCTCGAATTTCTCCGGCAGCTACTGCAATTCTTACAACCAGCTCCTCAGCATTGTCAACAGGGGTGACATAAGCCAGCGTTTTCATGTGACCCCAGAAATAAAAAGCAAGACATGATAGGTCGGGTGACAGAAGAGGCCAACGCACTGGAAAGCTCGGAACTTTCGCACAACGCCATCTACCGCCTCTGGAAAGCATTTCCGACCCCGCATTGCTATATGATTTCGAGTCATCAAGATGCCCTCTACCCCTCTTAGGAGTTCTGAAACGTTTAACCCTGTATAATTGCTGCTTAATTCTTCGATTAAGTGTAGGTTAGAGGGCCCCCTTAATTGGTGATTTGAGAACATGCCTATATTTGAAAATATACCAAGAACCAATTACATAACGGTAAATAGAAATTCTGGTAACCCGATGATGACGTAATTAAAAGAAGAGACAGCAAGAAAAGAATATCATGGTAACCAGAAACTGAGTTTCAGCAAAATTTTACAGTTAAATTTGTCGCCAAACCAAGGGCCCCTGATTCTACTCTTTAATTCAATCTTCTTATAACAGGATTAGTACAGTACTTAAAAAATAAGAAAAGTTAGCTAAACTAACAGAAGTTTGTATTGACCACAACTCTTGATATTTCCAAATAAATATATATTGGTTACGGAATTTTAATTTTTAAGTGAAAGCTAGTAAAAGAACTTTGTCACTTTTTTTGTTGCAATAATGTCATTATTTTTAATCTTTTTGTCTTGATCTTACGAGCAAAGTAAAGTTAAATATCTAATTTGTGGCATATGTGAACCATTATAAATTAAAGACAACATCATTTTAAATCTCTTTAATTTCAATTTTTAACTCTACCAACCTTATTTAACAAAAATAATAATAATTTATTGTTTGTTTTAATAATTACTTTTGAGAAAAAGCAAACTCTCTATTGAGAAAAAAAACATAAGCTTATATTATTTTACTTCAATGTTAATAGGATGTATCTAGGGTAAAATTCTTAGAGATTTAATTAGATCATTTAATTATAAGTTCTAGTTTGCTGTTATTGTCTTCGCAAGAATGTAAGATTATAAATTTATAATTGATTTAATTGATTTTATTCAATCTTATCTAAGTAATTTAATTTTTTAATAATTAATATACTTAATTTATAATTAATAAATAATTATTTTAATCATCGCTGTTACATTACAAATACTTCGGAATTGTATTAGATTTTAAATTTATAATTAATTTAGTATATTTTATTCCCAATAATTTATTCAATTTAATCTATTTGTTAATTTAAATAAATTATTATAATTAATGAAATCTCTGCAATTATAAATTATCTTCGTCTTAAATTGTTTTTCATAAATTATAGCAGATGTAGGGTAAACTAACCAGTGAAGGAACACTTAAGCTTCGCTTGCCTCTTAAAAAATCATATTAATTTCAAAATTCGTAATTTTAGTTAAATGACAGTGTCAACNCATAAATTATAGCAGATGTACTATAAAAAAATGTTTTCCTCTTTCATTTGCCCATGTCAATGCTAAATGGTTTAAGAGTTTAGATAAACTGTAATACTGTAATTGCTATAACTTTGAATTTTCACTTTTCACAACTATAAATATCTAACAAAATGTATGATTAAGCATAGTTTTTATTTATTTATTATTTTTTGTAGGGACTTCTGTGCTTTGTAAAAGAGATATGTATTCAAAATAACAGCAGAGAACGTGCGATACTATCTGTTTCACCCGTAAGTAATTCCACCTAAATTTTATGAAGTTTCCAAAATTGAAAACGTTGTACCCTAATAACCTCTGAGCCAATGATCGGATTTTAAGTGTCAACATAAATCTTTATAGTTTGAAGAGCTCATTTATGATGTGTTAACAAGATTTAAACAAGAGCTACAAAATTAAATAAAAAAGCTTTTTTTAATTTTGATTGGAGATTAGTTATTAATTATTAATAAAAACTATATATTTATTATAACTTATATTTATTAATGAAAACTACATTTTTTTAAAACTAAAACTCAAATTTGCATATTTATGAAATTTTTTTTTATATAGAATCGAAAAAAACAGATGAAATAGAAGAGCTATCGAACATAAATAAAGAATATTTTGACAGAAAGAAAATAAAAATTAATACAAATAACTTATTATTTTTCACTTCAAATTAATCTCAGGTCTCGAAGAGTTAAAAAGTCATTTACTATATAGTTGTAAGGTTATTAAAATGTTTATTATGGATGTAAAACCGTATAAAATTTCCCACGGGTGACGCTATTGAATAAAATTCGTAATAAGAATTCCGGGTAATAAGAATTTTTACGCCTTAGCTTAAAAAACATACAACGTTGCAATATTATTGTACTTATACAGTTTGCAATATGACTTGCTCTATTAATTCAAGACGCTTATCCATTTAACTTTAACTATAATAACATTAAAAAACTGAAGAAAACACTTAAAACCTGACAGCACATTCACTTTATTTATGTTGTGATACACTATTTACCAATAAGTATTTGGACACGTGCGATTGAAAAGAAAAACAAACTTTATTCATAATCAATGGTTGGTAGATCCTCCATGAGAGGCAATTACAACGTGAATCCTCCGGGGCATACTTTCTACAAGTCCTTGCGTGACGGCTAGTGGTATTTTCTTCCACTCGTCTTGGAGAAGACATGTAAGTTCCCTCACCGATTTTGGATGGGTAGTACACCCCTTAATTCGGAGATCCAACTCGTCCTAGAGGTTCTCGGTAGGGTTCAGGTCTGGGCTCTGTGCAAGCCAGTCCATTCGATTAACCTCATTGGCACCATACCAAGCTTTGGTGACCCTCGCATAATGACAGCTGGCATTGTTGTCCTGGAAGTTACAGGGGTCCACCCAGTAAAACTGCCACAGCGTAGGAAGCACATTGTTATCCAAAATAGTGAAGTAGGCATCTTACATGGAACTAATGCCGATGTTGTTTCCTACACGTTATATACCGGTGGAGGGCGTGATGTATGTCAGGACCGCAGATATAATTATTTGCATAGGTGTCCAAATACTTATTGGTAGATAGTGTATTAATTACCTTATATAGATACATGACTCGCAAGATTTTAGAATTTTAAAAATACAGAAGAACCTTATAAATATTAAATTTACGTGCACATTTAAATACAAAGCACAACAATAAAACTTCCTAGAATATCAAGCCCTTTCAAACACACTCGTTAACTTAACATAAGCGGAGGAATACATCGGCAGTTCTCACTATTACTTTTCAACTTAAAAACTTTGTTATTGTTTACGCTGAGTTCCAAGTCCATAATAATTAACATTTTTTTAAAATTCAGGCAGGATGGGCATCATGGCTGATAGGACCTTTGTCGTTTCTCAGAGGGGCCACTTCTGTGCTTTATGATGGCGTGCCATACTTTTTATCGCCTACTTATTTGTGGGACATTATTGATGAATATAAAATATCAAGTTTCTTCGCAACTCCAAGCATTTTGGATGAATTAGAAAAGAAGGGATATTTTCCGAGTAAAGTATTAGCATTTCAGTATCTAAAACTGATGAGTGTAAAATGTATTGCGTCAAAAACTGGGTATTATACCGTATGTCACAAAAATGTCCGAAGAATTGAAAATTTCAGCAAATAGAAAAATACGGTTCTTTTAATTTTGTATACTTATATACGTTTTCATTCTTATTAAATTTTAAATTAGTTACAAAATTCATTGACAGATGGCGCGTTAGTTCTGTATTTTATGTCACTCTTTTCTTCAATTTTTATGCTAGTCGTTAAACCATTCAAACTGAAATATTTGCTAGAATGTCTGCACAATTTGCTTTCAGACCTTTGACTGTTCCGCATTGTTATGTAATGGTTAAGCGTCAGCAAATAGAAAAGCACTGTTTTTTTTAATTTTGTATATTTATGTGCGCTTTTATTCTCATTAAATTTTAAATTAGTTACAAAATTCGTTGACAGATGGCGCATTAGTTCGGTATTTTATGTCACTTTTGTAATCAATTTTATGCTGGTCGTTAAACCATTCGTACGGAAATATTTGCCCGAATGTCTGCACACTTTTTTTTCAGACCTTTGAATGTTCAACATTGTTGTGCAATGGTTAAACGTCAGCAAATAGAAAAGCATGTTTTTTTTTAAATTTTGTACATTTATACACGTTTTTATTCTCATTAAATTTTAAATTAGTTACACAATTCGTTGACAGATGGCGCATTAGTTCAGTATTTTATGTCACTTTTGTATTCAATTTTTATGCTGGTCGTTAAACCATTCGAACTGAAATATTTGCACGAATGTCTGCTCAATTTGAATACATTATTTTGTAGCTCTCTGTTTAAAAAAATTGTAAGCTAATTTTGAAATTAAATGAAGGCAAATTAACGGCTTTATAAGCAGAAAGCTGACTTCACATGTTTTCCTTTAACTGATTTTTGGAACATTCAGTCTAAAACTGGAGTTTTTTTCTAACTAATGAGTATTGCAAACATATATTTACTTGAGGAGTATTTTGAGCATGAGTGTTTTTAATTAACTTATTATTTATATATTATGATCATAGATGAAAATCATAAGCTGAACAGTCTACTTCTTATATTTTCTGGTGCAAGTGTTGTAAAGCCTCAAAATTATGAATTCGTATATAAAAGAATTAAGAAAAACATTTTATTCACGTCCATTTATGGTAAGTAGTATAATCAAATATCGTTCAATTCTAAATTGATTCAGTAATAAAAATTATATCTTCCCTATTCAGGTGCCACTGAAATCATGGGTAGATGCATGGCATTTCATCATACTTTACCTATATATAAAGGAGAACAAACATGCCCATGTTTAGGTGCTGATATAGAGGTAGTAGATGATGAAGGTAAAGTTCTGACATTATTCTCTAGTTACACATAAATAAATCCTGGTTTTCAAATATTTAAGAGCATTTTGTTTCAATAAATTACACTCATGTTCATAAATTAAGGAAAACTCACAATCACACAGAAATTGAATGCCATTTTTATGAACGCTATCATACGTACACCATCTTTTTTAATCTTAATCTTTTGTTCAATGAATGGACTTAAGAAATATGTCACGTTTGTTTTATTTTTGAGCATTTATTTACATTAGCATTTATTTGCATTAACCTTAATTTATACAAAGGAAAGCAAAAGTTATTCATGTGAAGAAAAAACGCTTTAATTCCCATTAAAAACGCTCTAATTCCTATTCTTTGGAGATCAAATCAGCTTCCTTAAGGAAGACCTGCCCCAGTTTGTGCAATTTAGAAAATCATTTAGAGAAAATACAGCTTGTAGTTTAAATAAAAAATAATAATGCTAACTCGTGAAAATTTTTCAACTAATGTCCATTTTGAAACTTTATTGTGTAAGCAAAAATATTTTTACAAAATGTATTTTAAACCCCCTTTGTTTGCTTTACAGAAGCAAACAAGAATTAATCTCGGGTTTATAAACTCTTAGTTGTGAAAATTTATTAAAAAAAAGTAAAATTTCACAAGTCAGTCTTTATTTTTTTGAATCTATGTCTAATTTTTTTTTCATTTCATTAAATTATGTTTCACTTTGAGTTGCTTAGTTTACATCACTAAAACAGGATTTACTTTATGTGCAAAACAATGTTATGTTTATGGTATTTTTGTATCATATGATAAATATTGTTCTTAAATTACGAAAATAAGACTTCTGAAAGAAGATGAACTTTCAGCTAATTTTTTTTTTCTCTTGATAAAGGTTTGTTGTTCTTATTAAACAGGCTGTCCCATAACTGGTGAAGTTGGAGATCTAGTCATATCAAAACCATATCCGTCAATGCCCTTAGGAATATATGGAGATGAAAACGGTTCCAAATATAGAGAGCTATACTTTTCTAAATACAAAGGTGAGTTATTTGTTTTTAATTATTTTTTAAATCGAAGCACTAACTAGTTTCATAAAAATATACTAGAAATGTTAAAGTCAAAATTTTTTTAAAGGTTGAAAAACAGCAAATTCATCACATTGACAATGTGATGAATTTAAATGGAAAATATAAAGTTTGCAAAAACATACAACTGTATTCTTTTAGGGTTTCGGAGCTAGATGCAAAATTTTAGAAATTATTACTCTAATACATTTACAAAAGTATGGTTAAAACTACTGTACTTGATTATGCAATAAAATTTAGCAAATGTGGTAAAATTTTGTAGTTTTATCACGATACCTTCAGGATATAAGAACCATTTCTTCGGTAAAATTTACTTTTTAGTTTTGTATTCACTAAACGTGCGGTAATAAGAAGCCTAATTTTGAAAACTGGAATTTTCGGTGTACCGTTACTATATGAAAGGAATTTTTTCCTTCGTGCTATTAACTGAAATCATAACAATTGAAAAAGTATCTTGATTGTTTCTGATGAATTTTAAGATTCATATTTTACGCATCCAACTTGAGGTTATAAGCATTTTTTCATATTTATCTCATTTAAAGCTTGCTTTGATTAAAGAAATAATTTGAGTTGATGAAACAATAATGGAAGATTCTTAAATTAAATAAAAGGTAACGCATATTTTATGGACTTAAGTAATAATCATAAAACATTTATCGTTATTAAAAAATAATTCAATATGAGAAAGTAAATTTAAATAGAAGGGTGTAAGATTTTAACAAATTATAAATCACTTTTATTTCGGTAACTGTTATGATTTCGGTAAAGTTTTTGATCCTTACCTGAACCTTAATATGGTATATATTTTTGATAAGGATTCTAAATATATATATTAAGGGCGGTGTTCAGGGAACACGCCGTTTAATAATAAAACAAAATTCACTTGTTTCCAAATATATTATTTTTCGTACGTATATTCCATGACATATATTTCATACTAAGGACCGAGAAAGTCTGGTTGGTAGGGCACTGGGCCCCGGTTCAAGAGTTCGTGGGTTCGATCCTTGCCGGCCGAAGACTCCCAGTGTAGTAAATGGTGATTGATGTACGTTATATCTGTCCAGTCATAATGTCCTACATGTTCCCATAACAAATCACACCTCGGGGGTACTGATCCAGAAGGTTCCCTTGTCTTCTGGATCGGTTTAAAGTTACAAGGCAACGGAGTTGAACATTAGTAGTTGTAAAAACAAAATTGGGTAGACTGTTCAACGACGGTTATAAAATAAAATACAAAATGTTATGATCAACGTTTATTCAGTTTTCTTAGAGTGCATAATTCTCTAATTGAATTTTTTTTTTTGTTCTTTGCAGATAAATTTTCGATGTCGGACCTAGCAATAGTTAATCCGAAAACTAAAGGAATCTTAATTTGTTGCAGAAAGTAAGAAAATTAATTAAATAATTACGTTCAGTTAGTTTTGTTGTTAATTTTAAATCGAGAAAACATGGGAAACTTGTTGCAGAAAGAATAATTAAGAAACAATAATGCTTTGGTTTTTAATTCTATTCAGCTTATTGCATAAAGCGTACACTACGTGACCTATTTCAATTGCTTTTATTCTTTACTGATAAATACTTTTTTTCTATATTAATAAACCATGACCTCCACCTTGGTGTTCAAATTAGGATTACACTTTGTTTTGCTGCACAAAAAACTGTAAGATTTAGAAACTTCGAAGGTGTATAAGAATATGTACAGGGAGTACAATGAGATAAAAAAATTATATTCTTTTATTAGTTTGAGAATTCTGCATTGTTTAATTTGATGGGAAAAAAAACATGTAAACTGATCTACAGCCCACTGAAATCCCTCTACAGGGCAGAAATTTCTTTTGAGCAGAAGCTGGAATAGTAATTTTCAAATATAAACCTAGCGAGAGTTTTTTTTTTCGAACTCAAATTTGCTCAAAAATTATTGCTGGTCAAAGACTGTTTTCCATTGTTGTCGATGCTTTTTTATTGGCTGGAAAATCACATGACAGGATCAAGTATCCCACATTGATTTCCATATTGTTTTAGCTGTCATCAGCATGAATTTAATAAAAGTCATAACAGTAATTTTTTTTCTGTAAATATTTTGGAATCCCTAATTCAGAGGTATTTAACAGTACTGCTATTTTTGATTTTGATTACTATTTATTTATTGATTTTTTTAATTATTCTAACGTAATTTTACACTATATTTTACGAATCTGCATATTTTTAAATTCAGAGTTTAACTACATTAAAAGTTACTTAACCCCCCTTCCTTCTCGCTCCCGTGAAAATGACGGGGTGAGCTTTCGCCCTCTATTTCTCGCTCCCGTGATATTGACGGCTGGAGTGATCAGTAGTAACGTGCCAATAAGAATAAAACTAAATAATTTCTTTTTCCCGGAAAAAATTTTATTTCTTATTTTGCACACCAGACCACAGTACCAGGATATTTTTAAGGAAGTTGTAGATAGTTTATTTTAAACTAGATGTCAGCACTAATCAAATACGTAATACAAATATAAAAGCCAAAAAAATAGGCACTTTTATGACTGTTTTCTTGAAAATTAACCGTTCGTTAAAGAGGTGTTAAAGTACAGTTGATTATTTTTCAAATCTCAGTAATCGTTAATTTTGTTGCGATTAATGCGTTAATAAAATGTTATTACATGAAATTATAATATATATTTCATTCTAAACTAAATCGTATTTTTTTTTTTGAAAAAATATTAACTTTTAAGAGAAAAAAAAATTATGAGTCTTGAGAAAAGAATGGAGAGAGATGGAAGTCCTCGAGTTTAGTTATAAAGTATTTGTATTTGTATACATGTAAAAAAAAAATATCTATTCGACCTGATTATAGACACACATAAAATCGAAGTTAACGTTTTTTGTCTAAAACAACACCAATTTCTTTTCGTTAGAATGAAAACACATTTGTTATTTTCAGATTTATTCGATAAATTTGATATCAATCTTGCTTCAGAGCATCGTGTACTTATACAAAATTTTATTACATTGGAAATAAGTTTCTGGTAATATTAAAAAAAATTCAATAAACTACACTTTTCCTTTAACTCTTGAAAATATTTATATTTCTGGTCTGAAAGAAAAATTTGAAAAAATTTCTTTCTCATCTAAATACTCTAAGCTAAAAAGTAATTATTCGTGGTGTTCTATAATAGCGGTTTTTAAATAAATTTTTTCGTAAACCTAATTGAAAATGTCTCTAATAGTCGTTTCTATATCTTTCTGTTTCTTTTGGCAATCAAACAATTCAGCCTACCGCACTAATAATTCAATCGAGTTTGATTGTATATATTTTTTTTTCCTCACTTACATTAATTTGCGACCCCAAATATCTAAGCTTTTTTAACACAGGTTCTGAAAGGTTATGTTAAGGATAGGCTATTATGAAACACGGTGTATACAAAATTATTTATCATGATTGGCGGGAAATACTTCGGGTACTTTTTTGTAAGAACGCTTTAATTAGGAAGTTTGTTTATTTCCTTCTAATTTTGACCACCATAAAAATTCTTAAACAACCACAAAAATTCTCATTCTTTAAATTAGAAACAAATGTTTATAAAGGAATGATTTTTTCTAATGCTTGAAAAATTGTTTTTGTGTAATTCACTAGCTGATTAATTAACTGTCATTTACTAACTGTAATTTATTAATTGTACATAACCGCATTCATTTTTATTTGATTTAGAATATTTTTCTCCGATCTTCGAGGATTTTACTTACCGATGGAAATAACATTATCTTGTACAAATATCTCAAAAATTATCGTTTTACATCAATGCGGTTGATTTGATCAGCTTGCAAATGATCCTTTTAAATTTCTTCTAAACGTGTTTCATTAATTATTTATAAAAACAAATTACAGTTTTAAGAAAAGAAACATTGAAATTGTGTTATTAAAAACACATTTATTTTCGCCAGCTGTGTGAAAAGAAAAGACAAACCATACCAAATTCGTTTCACAACTTACTAATACATTAGAACGAAACATTTGAATTCTTCTCATAAAGATGAACAAAAAATAAGTTTGACAAGTTTAGGTTTTCATACTATTAACTGAACTCATAACCATTGAAAAAGTTTCCTGATTGTTGTTGATGAATTTTAAGATTCATATTTTATGCATCCAACTTGATGTCATAAACATTTTTTCATATCTACCTCATTTAAAGCTTGATTTGATTAAATAAATATTTTGTGTTGATGAAACAATAATGGCAGATTCTTAAATTAAATAAAAGGTAGCGTATATTTTATGGACTTAAATGATAATCATAAGACATTTATCGTTATTAAAAAATATTTCAATATGAGAAAGTAACTTCAAATAGAATGATGTAAGATAAAGACAAATTATAAAAAAAAAATATTTTTATTTAGACAACTGTTCTGATTTCGATAAAGTTTTTGATACTTGCTTGAAACTTAATCTGAATATTTCTTTGACAATATTTTTGAAAAGGATTCTAAAAATATATATTAAGGGCGGTGATCACGGAACATGCCGTCTAATAATATAACAAAATTCAATAGTTACATAATATATTATTTTTTTACGTGTCTTCCACGTCGTATGTTTCACATTCTAGGAATTATAAATAAATTAATCAATATTATCTTAACCATTTTATCCAAAATACATAGTAAACGTTTGATAAAAAAATTTATCATTAGAAAGATAAATTTTGAAATTTAATATTGCTTTGCGAAATAAGTATATATTTATTTTTTCCTACTAAAAGAAAACAATTTTTTTTTCAATTTTAAATATAAAACACTTCTTTGAAAAAAAAACGTGCTTAAAAGCAGCAGAAATTTCAAAAAAGGAAAAATGTAGCAATAAAGGAAACGAAGGAAATAGAAATAAAAATATGACCACCGAAGCCGACGTCTTCAAGGGGTACCGGCCCCGGTAGCCATAAAACAAAATCTTTTCTATTGAGGGAGAGGCAAATGCCTAAAGTAACTCCCTTAGTACACCGAAGGTTTTGTATAGAAGTCGAGGAAAAAACATGAAATGCATAGAACCAATTTAGAAAAGAAACTCAAACAAAATCATCAGAAAATAAAAACTCATTTTAACCAGGTCAAACAGCGATTTTATAAGCAAACCGAATGAAAAGGAAACACTTAAAACTGAAGAAAACAACGCCCTCTATTTCAATGCGCAGATTGAAAAAAAGAAGTCAAGGAAAAGATGCGTAACATATTAATAGAATGCTTAACTGGGGCTGCTCAGTTAAGACTTGAATTGCGCCATATTTTTGTTTTTATTTTTATTTCCTTCGTTTCCTTTATTGCTTCATTTATTTTTTCCTACAAACTATAGTTTGTATATTTGTTTGCAAAGACTATTATTGGCCTAAAATTTTAACGAATATTTCTATTACCATACTCTTATACGCTTTTCACTTATTTTTTCAGTAATTAATTATAAAAAGTAACAGAATGTAAAACCATGCTTTAGTTCCTTATAAAATATTAGAATAAATTGTTTTTCTTTAGCTTATTTAATCTTATAATATTTCAGTGATGAAGCCATCAATCAGTTTGGATTTAGATTTGGAAGTTCCGAAATTTATAATGTAGGTATGTATTTAGTATCAGTCATTGCTTTTATGTGGAAAATACTTTCTTCGGAAAAAGAGGGGGGTAAAAGAGGCTGTTATTATACTTTCATAGAGGCTATGATTGTGCATTTAAATTTAAATTGTCTGGCCTAATATTTTGATATATTTGTCTTTTGAGCAACATTGATTACTATTTCTTTTTTCCAGACAAATTTTATAGGAGAAGATGTAAATGAACAAAATGGGTCAGTGAATCATAATCTAATTTAATCATAACACAAAGTTTTTTTTTTGTTTTTTTATTTATTATTTTTTTTAAAAAATAATAATGGAACAGATGAGCTAAAAGTGAGCACACATCTTTCTCCAAAGAAAAGACACATAAATTGATTCGTCTGTTCTAAAGACCAGATAATTCATCACTCCAAGATCATATATATAGTTTAAAAACACCACATTGCTTCAAGTGTAAGGTATTTAAACTATAGCTTTTATTATTTTCCTTGGCGACAGAGCTTCGAAAAACAGTGTTAAGAGCCGGATAGAGGGGAAGGTAGTCCGGATCTTCACCACACAGGAATAGGCAGGCTTCTTGCGAAATTGAATTGATAAAGCTCAGCATACAGGCAATATTGCAGGGTCGTCATTCGAAAAACAGTGAGTACCCGATAATTGGGATAGTTGTATCCCAAAGATTTCCCTTATTTCGAACGCATGCAAATCTCTTATGACCAAATTGATATTTGATGAAACAAAAAATGGATGAAAAAAAGTACATTATTTCTTAAAATTCTTTTTATAATATAAAAAATTTTATGAACATTTTGTCGCTTAGATATTTTGCTCTTTATTACTTGAAAAATTTGTTCTAAATATAAAAAGCTATGACTAAGTTTTGAAACTTAAATATGAGTTATTTCAACCAGAGGAATTAATTGATTTGTGCAGAGAATGGCTCAATTACCTAATCTTTTGGAATCTGATTAATTGTTCTACAGCCACCTTCTGATGTGTGAGAGGTAAAAAGCGCGCCTTCTACTTCTGTCAGCAGTAAAAAACAAACATGTGAAAGCCGCACTAAGCTGTCATTGTGGCGGTCTGGGGTTTGGCCACACCAATCTGATGCGTTGATTTGAAAAGTAAGAACAGTAAGTGCGCAGCTCTAACCACGCTGTCACCATCTTACCACTTTGCTCAAGATTCTAAAACCACAGAGAAAAATTCTGGATAAAATTCTGGTAAAAAGTATTGACACTCAGAGTGCAGCATCCGTAAACCATTTTACTGCAAAATCCAGTTTTCCCATAAAAATTATTACTATAACTTTTTCAGTAATACTCATTTAATTACAGTGTCTTATTGATTTTACAGTAAATATTGCGATTTTTACAGTTACTCTTGTATGTACAGTGTTTCAGTGCTTTCAATTAAATATTGCTCTAAAAATTGTGGTAAATTAGATTTTTTGTTCCGTAAAATTTCGGGTAAAACTAAATTACATGACAAAACGTACTGATACCCTGAAAGCAGATACTTTTTTCCTTAATTTGATCCAGAATTTTTTACAGTGTACTAACCATTTTTTCTTTCCTTTTTTCAGACATTTACTTGAGAAATGTTTTTATTTAAGTCGTGTAGTGAATAATGCAATACTCTTATCTTCAAAAATCTATTTTAGACAAATAAAAAAAAAAATCAGGAACTCTTTAACCTTGTTTTTCGCCCTTAGTGAATCGTCTCCTTGAAGTACACGATAGCCTTTGTGTTTCTCAGTATAGTAAAAATGGTACTGAGAGAGCTGTTTTGTTTTTGAAACTGAAAGCTGGCTTCAAATTCAATGATGAATTACTGAAGAAAGTTCGGGAAAAAATAGATGAAGAGTTGACAGATGAACACATTCCTGGGCTTATCATGGAGGTTCAAGACATACCAGTAAGATAAACTGAAGAAAATCATAAATATTTTATTGTTTATTGTTTTAGTTTCAGAGAGTTAATAATTGTATTAACGTGTTCGTAAAGTATTTCATCATTTAAAATTTCAGATAGTTAACTTGCGCAATCTTATATGTATTTATGATTGTTAAGAGTTCTTTCAATTAAAATTTTAAATCTTTAACTATAATGTTAGCAAATATATTTCTGTTAGGTTCTTTTTCGTTCATTTAAAGCTTCAGGAAGTTAACTAAGATATTCATCACTATGTTCATGATTCGGTCGGTTACGGTTCAGGTTTTAGAAACTCACTAACCACAGTATTAACAAATAGAGTTTTTTTCGTGAAATTTCATACAGTTGAACACAACCAAGCATTTTGCAAATACATTTACGCTTGTTATAAAATGTTTCATCCAAAGCTTTAATTATAGAATTAAAAAAATGCATTTACTTTAGTTATTAAATTTTTTGCTCAAAAAGTTATTCACTGCATTCACAAATGCCTTAACATTTATCACGAATTTTTAATTAACGTTTATCAATTAACTTTGATATTCGTAAGTATAATTAAACTTGATACGAATTTTATAATTTAATTTTTAATGTTGAACTAAAAATTGATTTCATTCTTAGAAACTGAAATCTAGCCTATTAGAATATTTTTAGTTTAGCTCTAACACCAGAGAGGTCTAAAAGTTTTGTTTCATCGATTGTTAAATTAAAAAAAAACCTGTTAAATTGTGAATTGATGGAATAAGTAGCTATTCTTTAAATTGTGTTGCTTGCAACCTATAAAAATTTGATAGTATTTTATTATTGAAATTGTGTGAATAGAAAATATTGCATGGAAATCTGTTATGTATGAAATGAGTATTTATTCTTTCTAATTATTTATTAATGTTATAGATACGGGTGTATGTTCATTATTTACAGATTTTGGTGTGCTAAATCATTAAATTAACTAACTCTGTTAACTTTAGACTTTTACAAGCTTAGATAAAACGAAACATTTATATTGCCTTCTAATTGAAAAAACAACGAAAGTGCTTCTCCAAAGGTTCCGAGAAAAGTGGCTTGACAACTTGTTTTCTTTCTATTGCTAATGCTATGAATACTAAAATAGAATTCACGAAACTGATAAAACAAAATTTATTTTTGAAAAAAAAAGTTTTTTCAGCATATGTAGTTTATCATAAAGATATACAAATATATACAAATCTCAATTTTGTAAAATATTAATTTGTTGTTTTCTTTTTCTTCTGACAAATTTATTTATTTATTTATTTCAGTATAACATGAATGGAAAGAAAATGGAAATTTTGATAAAAAAGCTGCTTAATAAAATGCCTTATAATACAAATGTCCTCAGGAACAAAGAATCTTTACAATGGTATATGAATGTACCACCCTTTGAAGAATAAATTACCACTTTGTTAATTCATTATAGCTTATAAATACAATTGTTTTCATTAAGAAAAAGAATTTATTTATTATGTTTATGAATAATAAAATTTATTTTTACAAAAATAGTCCTTAAAAATATTTTTTAGTTAGAAGTTTCATTAAATGTTTTATATGAGGATAGCTAACAATGCGAAACATAAAAAATCTGTTTGAATGAAATGTACTAATTATTTCATCTTCGAATATTAAAAAAGCCTTTCAGTCCATCATAAAACTTGTTGCAATCTAAGATTTCGTTTTTAGTTTTTAAATTTAGAAAAGTGCAAAAAATATTCTTGTTAAAGATGCCGATAAAAGGAGACAGAGAGAGAGAGAGCTCCCTTTTTCTTAATTGCCACTAGATGGCGCGGTCAGTAGACAGGTGACCTTTCCGAATACGAAGTGTTGACTCTTTCCTTACCCCTTTTAGCAAAATATAAATAAAATAAATTTTATCTATAAATTGTAAAATTTGTTTGGAAAATTTTTCGCAGAATACACTTTCTACTTTCATTAAAATAAAGTTTAAGAATACTTATCTTCGGTGAATGATTAAACATGTTTATCAGAAGTTATCTAAATCGAAGCTTAAATAATATTAATATTTTGTATTACAAAGCAATTAATTTAAATATTTAAATATTTATTAATTTTACCGAAGTATATAATAAAAATTATTGCTCTGGGTAGAAGCAAATCAGTAAATTTTACTTCAAACATAAGTAAATTTCCTTTCATTTATCACGAAAATATGTGTTACTGATTGAATTTTTAATGCATAAAATTTGTTTTAATTAAAACGATATTTGCAAATTTAGTCATTTCGGTCCAAGTTTTTCAAGTCTTTAACAGAAATGATAGTATTTTATATTTAAATTTTCTTTAACATTTTATTTAATTCATCAAATGATAAAATGTTAAATTGTTTGTTTTAACTTTTGATAAATTTATTTATCAAAAGTTAAAACAAACTTTAATTAATCCCATCAAAAAATTTTTTACAATTTTTTTTCAATTAAGTATAACATTTTATAGTGATTTTCAATAAATGAAATTTAGAAATATTGTTGCAATTTAATTAGGATAAATATTATTATTTAATGAAACTAAAGCTTTTAAAACACCTTTGAAATCAAAATACTTAAATTTAGTTTTGTTGCCTTTAACCGTCTTCGTTAGTCTATATACATCATCGTATTTTTCTTTCTTATACGCTCTTCACAGGTAATTGAAAATCTGTAGCATAAAGATTACTAATTGACCGATGAGATTATTTTGGGGTAACTCGCAAAATCTTTCGCAAATGTGTCGTTGACCTTTCATTTCGAATATAGCTCAAAACGCATGCTCAAGAAAATGTACACAGTTCAAAAGAAACATGCTATAGAAAATGAACTCAAAATAAAATGGGTATTTCCAGATGTCGTTACGTCTTCGATCCAGGAATCCCAAGATAACGAAATAATGCAGGAATCCAAGATTCTGCAAATCAAGTTAGGATTGACAATTTAGTTAATCGATATAGTTTGTCCATTCCAATTATATTTTACTCTTTTAAAAATATTTCTACAACACAAGAATTAAACTCATCTTTTCATTTACTCATCATTTGTACTTAGCATCTCAATTTGAAAAGAAATCTTCAATATATTGCAATCATTAAACTAAAATGCAACTTCAAAGCACCGACAAAAACACAAACCTGACACGCATTTTCGATGCAAAAAAATACTAGATGAAATTACGGTACAAAATACCAGAACATGTTACGGAACAAAAAAATCTGATATACTGTAATCTTTATAGGAATTATTATCTTAAAATCACTAAATCCCTCTAACTAAATAAATATCATTGTAAAATTAAGATATAATATATTATGGGGGAAATGGATTTTGCAGATGATCCGCTCAAAGTGCCGGCGCATTGCACCATAATGTGCTTCGGAATTTCTTACAGTGTTCAAAATAATTGTGTGTGTATTTTACTGTATCATTCAACATCTTAATAAAAAGTGTAATTCTAAGGAACAAAAATCTAATGGTAATCCTAACAATGAGTTATGCATAAATATATAAAGTAAGAAAAATTCATTCTGTAATTTTACTGTAAGGTTTGACAAGCATTCCGTAGGTGACCAAGGCACCAATTATATTTATTGCCAGGCTTCGTTTCAATGAAGCGATATTCCAAACAGTAAGATTTATGTCCCGCAAACTTATCTTCATTACTAGATTTTGATAATACACGGTGGTTGAATCATCAATGTCGATGTAATCTAAGGAGGCTTTAACGCTATCATTTGCAGTAGAAACTCGTGAGGCAAACATAATAAGCACAGTCACTCCAAAGACACTACGAATCGTATGAGTAAGATGGATAATGTTTTTTAAAGGAGTATCTTCTTCAAAAGTTTCGTGAATTTCATCAAAAGCTACCGTAAGACAAAGAGCTATGTACCAAAACACAATAAAACTCAGCGTATCGTCTACTTTCGTCACTAGTTTGGAAATCGACCCGTACATAGAACTCAGATTCTTTAAATTTTTCTCTTTTCTGATTTTAATACTGTAAGTGATTAGTACTGTGTGCAAAATGCTGCACACAGTGCAGTAATATAAAACAAATGCGCTTGCAACCACAAAAAGCATTTCTAAATTGAAGTTTGCCACTGCAATGAGGCAAGTGTCAATAGTGTATGAAATATGAATGTCAAAGTAAAAGATGTGCATAAAAGTATCCATGTTAAAGTTGGCTATACTCCAAACATTATAAATAATGAATAACAAATGAAATACTAAAATGAAAATGATTGCAAAAGTTATCCATTTTTTAACTTTGGAGAAGTTCACGTCAAATGCATTGACATCTAGGGTAAATATTTTTCTTAGTGTTAGTACAACATTTTGAAGGGAAAGGATTTTAAGACGAAGGACTATGGACAGAGAAGAGGCAAGAATATAAATTAAACATTCTGATAAATACTGAGCATAATCCCGCTTACGTTTCGATGTGTAAGTACAGTAAGTATGAGAAATTAGGCACATCATATTTACACTTATATACATGAGAAAAGTTAATACATGCACTATTTTTTTAAAAACTGCACATTTCGAATCATGTTTGAATGATATTTTCCACGAAGTAAGTCCTAATATTTCAAAGAAAGCAAAAACTAGATTAAATACATCATCGTAGCAGTTATCACACAGCTCCTGAATCTCATTGTTTTGAGTTGGAGCATTTCTTCGCTTTTTCAAATTCATTTCGATCTTTCAAATTTCTATTTATTTGATCTAACAGTAAAGAGATATCAGCTCGTCTAATAATTGGCTAAGCTTATTTTTCGAATTGCATTTCAAATAAAATTAATTATTTATTTTAATTTCTATATTTAATTGATTAATTATATATTTTAAAATTCTTTAAAAAATAGACTTAAATAAAATGTTGCAAACTAAAGTTTCGATTTAATTATTTCAACCAGGTATAAAATAATATTTATATTCAGACACACATTAATGTCTATAATATTGTGTCTGAGTTAATACATTGTTCGTCACTGCCACGAAAATCAATTAGTTTAAAATTCAACAAAATCTTTAACTTTTTGCCATTAAAAGTAATCGATAATCAATAAAAAGAAGAAAATTTAAAAGTCATTTCTGAGATATGACGGGATCTTTTACATCAAGCGAAGTTGACGACAAATTGAAATCAATAGATATTATGAATCTAAGGTAATGACGATGATTTTAAACATTCACAAATCAGTTGGTACCATCACATTTATTAAAAATGTATTGACGTTTACCGTCAGGTTTATAAAGTGTTTTGAATTTGATATATCATTTTTTAATGTAATTAAGTAATGAATCATAAATTGTTGTTAAAAGTATAATAATGAAGATGGTTTCGACGGAAAAATTATCTTTACATGAATTAAATTTGACAAGCACGAAAATTAAACATCAGGACACAAATAAAATAAGAAATAAATTTGTTAAAAATATTTAAGCACTTTCTCACTAACCGAAACTTAAACTTAGTTTAAAAAATTGTGTTAAATAAACTTTTACTATTATTTATCACTTTTGGTTGCAAGCTGGTTCATGATCTGTTTAATCAGATGTGCTGCATTCAAAAGCCCAAGTCTAAGTGTGAAAGCCGGGATCGCCTGGTTGATAGGGCGTTGGGTCCATGGTCAAGAGGTCGTGAGTTCGATCCCCTCCATCCATAGACTCCCCGTGTATTAAATGGTGACTGATGCACGTTAAATCTGTCGGGTCACCAAGTTCATGTTTCCATAACAAATTAAACTTCTGGAGGTAATTAATTGGAGATTGGTCGTTATCTGTTTAAGGTTAAAATTACAGTCTATGGATGAATGAATAGGCCGTCGTATAAACGGGTTGTGACGTGTGTGGAGGGCGTTGAAGTTGCATTCTTCCCCATAGAATTCTCGTAATGTATTTATATTTCATTTAATTACGTGTATTTCTCATCAAAATACGCAAATTTAATAAAGAAATTTGAAAAATACGTGCTTGGTAAACTGGTGCAATATTTAACTTGTTGGTTAAATGGTATAATAGTCAATTATTTCTTTTCATAAAATAGTGTAATATTTAGTTATTTCTTAATAAAATAGTAGTGTATTCTATTATTTCTTGATAAAATGTAGTCATTTTTGATTATTTCTTTGTAAAATAACTTCACATTTAAATTTTTCTTGGTTAAATAGTGTTAAATTCAATTATCTTGTGATAAACTGGTGCAGTATTTAATTATTTCACAGTAAAATAGTGCTTTTTTGAGGGAGCGGAAACTTTACACCTGTTAAAGAAATCACTGGTTGTTAAATTAAGAAGAATTACATTTGAATAATCAAAATTATTTATATTTTGATTGTTCAAATATAATTGTTTTTTATATATAATCGGTGTTTTTTTATTAAAAAAATTTTATAATAAAAAATGATGCTTGTAACTCAAATCGTTAAGAATTTTGACAGTCTCATAAAAAAAAACTTCGAAT